TCCTTCCTTTTTTTTTCCTCCTTTTTTTTTTTCTTTTTCCTTCCTTTTTTTTTCCTTCCTTCTTTTTTCTTTCTTTCCTTCTTCCTTCTTTTCTTTTTTTTTTTTCTTTCTTCCTTCCTTCCTTTCTTTCCTTTCCTTCTTTTTTTCTTTTTTCCTTCTTTTCCTTCCTTCCTTCCTTCCTTCCTTCCTTCTTTCTTTTTTTTTCCTTCCTTCCTTCCTTTTTTTCCTTCCTTCTTTTTCTTTCCTTTTTTTCCTTTTTCTTCCTTCTTTTCCTTCCTTTTCTTTTTTCCTTTTTTCTTTTCTTTCCTTTCCTTTCTTTTCCTTCCTTTTTTTCCTTCCTTCCTTCCTTCCTTTTTCTTCCTTCCTTTCTTTTTCTTTCCTTCCTCCCTTCCTTCCTTCCTTCTTTCCTTCCTTTTTTTTTTTTTTTCCTTTTCCTTTTTTTCCTTCCTTCCTTTTCTTTCCTTCCTTCTTTCCTTCCTTTCTTTTTTTTTTTCTTTTTTTTTTTTTTCCTTCCTTCCTTTTTTTTTTTTTTCTTTCTTTCCTTCCTTCCTTCCTTCCTTTTTTCCTTTCCTTCTTCTTTCCTTCCTTCCTTCCTTTTTTTTTTTCTTTCTTCCTTTCTTTTTTTTTCTTCCTTCCTTTCTTCTTTTTCTTTTTTTTTTCCTTTTTTTTTTTCTTTTTCTTTCTTTCCTTCTTTTTTTTTCTTTCCTTTTTCTTTCCTTCCTTCCTTTCTTCCTTTTTTTCCTTTCCTTTTTTTTTTTTTTTTTTTTTTTTTCCTTCCTTCCTTTTTTTTCTTTTCTCCTTTTTTTTTTCCTTTCCTTTCCTTCCTTCTTTTTTTCCTTCCTTCTTTTTTCCTTCTTTTTCCTTCCTTCTTTCTTTCTTCCTTTTTTTTCTTTCTTTCCTTCTTTTCTTTCTTCCTTCTCTTTTTTTCTTTTTTCTTTTTTTTTCTTTCTTTTTTTCTTTTTTCCTTCCTTCCTTCTTTCCTTCTTTTTTTTCCTTTTTTTCTTTTTTTCTTCCTTTTTCTTCCTTCCTTCCTTCTTTTTCCTTCCTTCTTTTTTCTTTTTTTTCTTTCCTTTTTTTCTCCTTCCTTCCTTTCTTCTTTCTTTTTTTCCTTTTCTTTTTTTTCTTCCTTCTTTTTTTTTTTTTCTTTCTTCTTCTTTTCCTTTTTTTTTCCTTTTTCCTTCTTTTTTTTTCTTTCTTTTTTTTCTTCCTTCCTTTTTCTTTCTTTCTTTTCTTTTCTTCCTTCTTTTTTTTTTTTTTTTCCTTTTTTTTCTTTTTTTCCTTCCTTTTCTTTCTTTCCTTTCCTTTTTTCCTTCTTTCTTTTTTTTTTTTTTTTTTTTCTTTTTCTTTTCTTCTTTTTCTTTCCTTCCTTCCTTTCCTTTCTTTTTCTTTCCTTCTTTTTTTCCTTTTCTTCTTTCCTTCCTTCCTTCCTTTTTTCCTTTTTTTTTCTTTTTTTTTTCTTCCTTCCTTCCTTTTTCTTTTTTTCTTTCTTTCTTCTTTTTCTTTTTTTCCTTCCTTCCTTCTTTTTTCCTTCCTTTCTTTTTTTTCCTTTTTTTTTTCTTTCTTTTTTCTTTTCCTTTTTTTTTTTTTTTTCTTTTTTCTTTTCTTTTTTTTTCTTTCTTTCCTTCCTTCTTTCTTTTTTCTTTTTTCTTCCTTTCCTTCCTTCCTTCCTTCCTTTTCTTTCTTTTTCCTTTTTTTTTTTTTTTCCTTCCTTTTTTTTTCCTTCTCCTTCCTTTCTTTCTTTTTCTTTTTCTTTTTCCTTCCTTCTTTCTTTTCTTTCTTTTTCTTTCTTTTTTTCCTTTTTTCCTTCTTTTTTTCTTCCTTTTTCCTTCCTTTCTTTTTTTCCTTCTTTCTTTTTTCCTTTTTTCCTTCCTTCCTTCCTTTTTCTTTTTCCTTCCTTTTTTTCTTTCTTTTTTTTTTTCTTTTCTTTCCTTCCTTCCTTCCTTCTTCCTTCCTTCTTTTCCTTCCTTTCTTCTTTTTTTTTTTCTTTCCTTTTTTTTTTTTTTTTCCTTCCTTCCTTCCTTCTTTCCTTTTTTTCTTCCTTTTTTCTTTCTTTCCTTTCTTCCTTCTTTTTTTTCTTTTCTTTTCTTTCTTCCTTTCTTTTTTTTTTCTTTTTTCCTTTTTCTTTCTTCCTTTCCTTCTTTTCCTTTTCTTTTTTTTTTTTTTTTTTTTTTTTTTTTTTTCCTTCTTTTTTCTTTCTTTTCTTTCTTTTTTTCTTTCCTTATTTCTTTCCTTCCTTTTTTCCTTCCTTTTTTTTTTTTTCTTTTCTTTTTTTCCTTCTTTCTTCTTCCTTCCATTTTTTTTTCCTTCCTTTCTTCCTTTCTTCTCTTTTTTTTTTTTCTTTCCTTTCTTTTTCCTTCCTTCTTCCTTTTTTCCTTTCTTTTTCCTTCCTTCCTTTTTTTTCCTTCCTTCCTTTTATTCCTTCTTTTTTTTTCCTTCTTTTTTCTTTTTTCTTTTTTTCTTTCTTTCCTTCCTCTTTCCTTCTTTTTTTTTTTCTTCCTTCCTTTCTTTTTTTCCTTCTTCCTTCTTTTTTTTTTTCTTCCTTCCTCTTTCTTTCCTTTTTTTCTTTCTTTTTTCTTTCTTCCTTCCTTCCTTCTTCTTCTTTCTTTTTTTCTTTTTTTTTTCTTTTTTTCCTTTTTTCTTTTTCTTTTTTTTTTTCTTTCTTTCTTTCCTTTTCTTTTTTTTCCTTTCTTTCCTTTCTTCCTTCTTTTTTTTCCTTTTTTTTTTTTTTTTTTCTTCTTCTTTTCCATCCTCCTTTCCTTTCTTCCTTCCTTCCTTTTTTTTTTTCTTTTCTTTTTTCCTTCTTTTCCTTTTTCCTTTTTTTTTCTTTCCTTCTTTCTTTCCTTTCCATTCTTTTTCCTTCCTTCCTTCCTTCCTTCCTTTCTTTTTTTTTTCTTTTTTTTTTTTCCTTCCTTTTCTTCCTTTTTTCCATTCCTTCCTTCTTCTTTTCCTTCCTTTTTTTTTCTTTTTTTCTTTCCTTCTTTCCTTTTCCTTCCTTCTTTTTTTTTTTTTCTCCTTTCCTTCCTTCCTTTCCTTCTTTCTTTTTTTTTTTTTCAAATCCTTCATTTTTTTTCGTTCTTTTTTTTTTTTCCTTTTTTTTCCCCTTCTTTCTTTCTTTTTTTCTTTCCTTTCTTTTCCTTCCTTTCCTTCTTCCTTCCTTTTTCCTTTTTTCCTTTTTTTCTTTTTTTTTTTTTCCATCCTTCCTTCATTTTTTCCCTTTCTTTTTTCTTTTTTCCTTCCTTCCTTTTCTTTTTTCCTTCCTTTTTTTTTTTTTTTTTTGTTTTCCTTTCTTTTTTTTTCTTCCTTTTTTTCTTTTTTTCCTTCCTTTTTTTTTTTCTTCTTTTTCTTTCTTTCCTTTCGTCCATCCTTTTTTCTTTTTTTCTTCCTTCCTTCCTTTTTCTTCCTTTCCTTCCTTCTTTTTTTTCATTTTCCTTCCTTCCTTCCTTTCCATTTTTTTTCCTTCCATTTGCTTTTTTTTTTTTTTTCCTTCTTTCCTTCCTTTCCTTCCTTTTTTTTCCTTTTTTTCCTTTCTTCTTCCTTCTTTTTTTCCATCCTTCCATCTTCCATTCCATCCTTCTTTTTCCATCTTTCCTTTTTTTTTTTCTTTCCTTCCTTCCATTCTTTTTTTCCATTTTCCTTCCTTCCATCCTTCTTTCCCTTTTTTTCTTTTTTTTTTCCTTCTATCTTTTTTCCCATTCTTTTCCTTCCTTCCCTTCCATTTATCTTTTCCATCCTTCCTTCCTTTCTTTCTTTCAATTTTCCCTTCTTTTCCATTTTTCATCCTTTTTTTCCTTTTTTTTCCATTCTTTTCTTCCTTTTTCCTTCCTTCCTTCCTTCTTTTTTTTTTTCCATTTATCCATTCTCTTTTTTCTTCCTCCTTCCTTCCTTCCATTTTTTTTATCTTTTTCCATCTTTCCTTCCTTCCATACTTCTTTCTTTTCCATTTTAAATCCTTTTTTTTTCTTTTTCCTTTTGTTCTCTTTCTTTTTCATCCTTCCTTCCTTCCTTTTTTTTTCTTTTTTTCTTTTCGTTTCTTCCTTCCTTCTATCTTTCCATCCTTCCATCTATCTTTTCCTTCCTTCCTTCTATCTTTTCCATCGTTCCTTCCATCTATCTTTTCCATCCTTTCTTCCTTCCTTCCTTCTATCTTTTCCACTCTTCCTTCCTTCCCGCCTTCCCTCCTTTTATATTTTCCATCTTTCCTTCCTGCCTTCCTTCCTTCATTCCTTCCTTCTTTTTTTGACTTTTTTTTCTTTTTTTTTTTCTTCTTTTTTTTGTCTTTCTCACCTTTTTAAAACAATTTTTTTCTTTTTCTCTTTGTCTCTCCTTTTTTTTCCCTCTTCCTGCCTGTTTTAAAACTCTGCAATGTCTCTTTCTTAAAATCTTCTTAATTTCTGTCTGTCTTTAGATTTTTCATTTCTCCCTTTTTTGTCTATTCTTCTTTCTTTTCTCTATCTTTCTTCCCTTTACTTTTCCTTCCATTTTCTCCGTAATTTCACGCACCCTCATTAATTCCCTTCTTCCTTAACTTCTCCATTTAAATCTCTGACTTCTTCTTCTTCTTCTTCCATCTTCCATTCCCTTTATTTATTTATTTATTTTTGCCGTCTTTGTTTTTCATGCTTCTCTCCCCACCGTTTCCCTGTTTCATCTTTTGATATCTTTCTTCATTTCTTCTTCATTTATCTTTATTTTCCTTCCTTCTAATTTTTTTTCCTCCCATTTCTATCATCTACGGCCTTCCGCCATCCACGGCCTTCCACCACTGAATTACTCTCACCTCGACACGCAAATATCCCGCAATAGTTCCGATCCGAGGAGGCTTTTAAAAAGATTTTGTGAAATGAGTTTCAGAATTTAGGCAAAAAAAAATCATTAGAAAGGTGTGTATGTAAATGCGTTGTTTTTTGGAAAATGGGGAAAAATCATTTACTGGGTGGGGGTGAATCATTTTAGGTGTGTGGTGTAAGATGGGAGGATGAAATGGCGCCAGGTTGGAATTACTAACGGGGAAAGAAGGAGTGACTGGACCCGCGGCAAATGGGACGACATCCATCTTTGCTCCTACAGTGGCGACAAACTGGCTACTGAATTTTCAGGGAAAAAAATTGTAAGGAGGACAGAAAATAAAGAGAAGAGAGAAGAGAGAAAAAGGGATAAAAGAAAAAAGAGAAAAAGATTCTGGAAGTAAGGAAAAAATGAGAATAATGAAATTTAGAAGAAAAAAGGTAAAAGGAAGAATGGATGAAAAAAGGAAGAAAAAAATAAAAAAAAAAAAAAAAAAAAAAAAATGTCCAAATGTGTATATAAAACGTCGAGAGAAAGAAAAAAAGGAGAGAAAGAAAGAGGATGAGGAATATAACCTGAAAGCAAAGAAAGAAAACAAAAGAAAGAAAAAGAAAGAAAAAAAAAGTAAAAATTTTAAAATGGAATTTTAAAGAATTGACGATGAAAATAGCTAAAAATTAAAAAAAGAAAAATAAAGAAAGAAAAGAAAAGAATACATAACATAAGAATAGAAAAAAGAAAGAAAGAAAAAAAGAAAGAAAAAAAGAAGAGAGCTCATAACAAAAGAAGAGGAAGAAGAAAGAAAGAAAGAAAGAAAGAAAGGTGAGAGTTCGTATTGTAACAACAGAGAAAAAAAAAAATAAAGAAAAATAAAAATTTAAAGAAAGAAAGAAAAAAAAAAAGAAAAAAAAAAGAAAGAAAAAGAAAAGAAAAAAAAAAAAAAAGAAAAAAAAAAGAAAGAAAGAAAAGAAAGAAAGAAAAGAAAGAAAGAAAAGAAAGAAAGAAAAAAAGAAAGAAAAGATGATAAGAAAAGATGAATGTAAGAACGAAAAATAAAAAAGGAAAAGAAAGAAAAACTAAAGAAATAAGGAAAAAAGATGATAATGTATAAACTAGAGAAAAAGAAAAGAAAAGTAAATTTGTAATGTTTAAGAAAGAAAGAAAGAAAGAAAGAAAATATAAGGAAGGAAAAGACAGAAAAAAGAAAGAAAGTAAAAAAAAAAAAAAGAAAAAAAAGAAAAAAAAAAAAAAAAAAAAAAAATAAGAAAAAATAAAAAATTAAAAAAAAAAAAAGAAAAAAAAAAAAAGAAAGAAAAGAAAGAAAGAAAGAAATAAAATAAAAAAAATATTGAGCTGGAAATATGTATTTAAAGAACGAAAGGAAGTAAAGAAAAACAGAGAAGGGAGGGAAGGAAAAAACACATTTAGAAAGAAAGAAAGAAAGAAAGAAAGAACAGTACAGAAGGAAGGAAAAAAGAAAGAAAAGTAGAGAATACGATTGATAAAACAGCTTCTTTTTTTTAACAAAAAAAGAAAAAAAAAAAAATTTCAACATTAAAGCCTAAAAATAAAAAAAAACGAAAAAAACAAAATGAACGAAATCAAAAAAGAAAAGAATAAAAATGAAAGAAAAGAAGCATCCAAAGATGCACGCCAAATTAGAAAGAAAGGACAAAGAAAAAAAAAAAAGTAACAAAAAAGTGAAGAAAAAAAACAAGGAAAGTCAAACGAAATGTTTTAAATAAGGAATTTGAAAAAAAAAAATTAAAAAAAAAAAAAAAAACGAAAGCAAATAATTAGAAATGAATACGATAAAAAAAAAATAAAAAAATAAAAAAAAATAACGAAGAAGAAAAAAAAAAGGTACGGAAGGTTCAAAGGGCAAATGAAACAGGCGACGATAATTGTGGGGAGAAAAACTTACCTGCAGCATAACGAGATTTCAAAAGAAACCAAAGCCATCAAGACGATACCCCAAAGCAGAAGACACGAAAAGGCGACATTTAATTGGCGCTTTATTTACAGAGGCGGGAACATGGGATAGCCTTTCAGTCTATTTATCTCTCAGAGATACTGAAAATATAACTTTTGATTTATATTTCCCCCTCCCCTCTCTAAGTCGCGGGTCGCGCATTATCTATCTATCTATCTATCTGAGTTTGTTCCTAACCGTATCTATCTATCTATCTATCTATCTATCTATCTATCTATGTATCTATCTATCTATCTATCTCATCTATCTTCGTTTGTTCCTATCTATCTATCTTCGTTTGTTCATAATATCTCCAGCTATCTAACCATCTATCTGAGTCTGTTTATATCTATCTATCTATCTATCTATCTATCTATCTATATATATATATATATATATATATATATATATATATATCAAGAATCAATTTCTATTCATTTCTATCTTCGTTTGCTCCTATCGATCTATGTCTACTATATCTATATTTTCTATCTTATATATATATATATATATATATATATATATATATATATATATATATATATATATATATATTATATCTATGTTATCTTCGTTTGTTATCTGTCCGTTCATATCTATCAATCAGATCTCTGTAGCGATCTATCTGAGTTCTTTTCATATCTATCCAACTATCTAATTGTCTATCTAAGTCTGTTCATCTCTCCAATCTCTCTTTCTCTCTCTCTCTATATATATATATATATATATATATATATATATATATTTATAAATTAATTGATTTAAAATATTGTTTTTTTTTACACAGTTCCAACCATTACTGTTTGTTTCTTTTTATTTATATATATATATATATATATATATATATATATATATATATTATCCATATGCACTGTTACATTAAAAACATGTAAAATATCCAATACAAAATTGTACATTTTGTTTCAACCTTAAATCAACGTCTCTTCAGGTGACATACAATGATGCTACTGTTCTAATGTAACAGTACGTAATAAATAATTTTTTATTGCTCTACTAATGCATTGAGCCCTGTTTTATATTTATGTTTTGAACGATGAAATCTTACTCTTCGTTCTTTTTTCATTTGGATATATATATATATATATATATATATATATATATATATATATATAAATATATAATTATTTTTATAAAAAAAATTATAACATAAATATGTTATAAAATCAGTACAAAAATAACCATTTTGTTCCAACACCCTCAGTGTCTTAGTGTTGAAACAAAATGGCTATTTTTTTAATGATTTTATAACATATTTATGTTATAAATTTTTAATAAATAATAATTAAATCTGCTCTACTTTGTATTGAGCATTCTCTTTTTAAGAATAGTAATTGTTGGTTATTGAATTCATTCCGTATATACCAATTATATACTTTTATATATATATATATATATATATATATATATATATATATATATATATATAATATCTAAATGGAATAATAATATAAAAAAAAAAAGAATATTAATCTACAAACCCTGTGTGTCTAAAGATTTTAATTTTTTTATTTTCTTATTGTTCAATATATATATATATATATATATATATATATATATATATATATATATATATATATATATATATCCTCAATATATTTTTATTTTATATATTTCAAGCTTTCTCCACTTTAATCAAATCACTTGTGTGGGTTTTCTGTCGGTTTACCTACTGCGCGAAAAAACTGCCTCGTCAGTCATGTATCGAAAGATACATGATCGACTAAGCGTGTATCATACATGGCACATAACTGTCTGACTGTCGTGCTAATAACCTTGGGAAAGGTATGAATTCTCTTCTTCTCTTCCAGCTATGGGTAAATAGCAAGACAGACCGTGTTCTATAGCCTTGGATGGCAATTGGTCTACTGTAGAAAGAAATGGCAACCTACTGCGGGAAAAATCTGCCTCGTCAGTAATGTTTCGTATCGAAAGATACATGATCGCCTAAGCGTATATCGCACATGGCACATAACTGACTGACTGACATGCTAATACCCTTGGGAAAGGTATGAATCTTTGGGTGATACTTGACGTCCCTCGATTGTTCATGACTAAAGGTGTCTAGGTAGAAATGTCAATGCCTGAAATATTAAACACACACACACACACACACACAAAAACACACACACATACACACATCACACACACACACACACACACATATATATATAATTATTTTAATAAGTTTAAATATGATTCTGATTTAAACTGGAATAAAGTTTCATTTGCAGAGAAAAAATTAATAACTCAGTTTAATTCAAAGGAATTATAAGTTTTTCTTTTTTTTGAAAGTTCAAAGAATTTGCGATTTTCAATCATATTTTTTTAAATAAATAATTATATTTATGCTATATTTTTGTAAGCAATATGTTTTAAAAATAATAACTAAAATACTAAGGAACTTTGGATTATTTTATTAACCAGTTCCTTCCTATTTTATATATATATATATATATATATATATATATAAAAAAAAAGAACAGTAAATTATGTAATCCGGTGTTCTTATAGATATTTTAAAAAAAATAGTGCTCAATGTAAATTTACAGGCAAATAATATTATAAATTAATTGAATTAAAAAAAGGTATTTTTCGCTAACAGTTCTAACCATGTTTCAAAAATAGAAGGTAAAAGCTTAATAATTTAATTTTGTAATTAAATTAAAGACATTAGTTCCATTTCATCCTCAAGCGAATTTTGGAGTAAATTATTACTGGGTTTTAAAAGCACAGCAAAAATCTTAATTCACGTTTCCAAAGATACAGATAAACCCATTCATCTAGACAAAGGGTGTTTGCGAGTTATATATATATATATATATATATATATATATATATATATATATAGGAGAACATTGTATTTCTAACCATGATAGCCGGATTCTAATCTCACTATATATATACTTATATACTGGAGCAGGTAGAATGGAGATCAACGTATTTTAGTGGACATAAATTTTCAATCTGCTTTTTTGAATCATCTTCAAGAAGTTGAGCAAGATCTAAAAGGTCAGCCAATCTAAAGTGATCTCATCTCACAATTTTCACACCTGCTCCATATGTGACCTCCTTTGTAAATCATAGCGGTGCTTAAATGCCACTTAAGATTATTGCATGAACTTTCATAACTGAATCAATAAGCTGACAGATCCTCAATTGTCGAAACCGACGGAGAGTCCATTATTATATATATATATATATATAGATACGCTAGAGTAGCCATTCGAATTCCAGTCGAATCCATTACATTCACTTAAGTACTCTTGGGAAAGATGTATCCTCTTCTTCTCTCCCAGCTATGGGTAAATAGCAGGACAGACTGGGTTCTATAGCCTTGGATGGCAACTGGTCTAGGAGAAGGACAACTCTGAGTTCAAAATCTGATCCTCCAATTTGGGGGCTGTGCATTCGGCTAACAACCTACTCTTAAAAAGAAACTGCAACGAGATCTTGCTACCTTATGTTATATATAATATATATTTAAATAATAATACACTGCGTGCCAAATTATTATCGAGATAACTTTTTTTCTAATATTTCAAAAACCTTTTAATCAATTCACAGAAAATTTTGACACAATTTTGGCAACACTGACCTGCGCAATCACTGAGATTTTCGTACTGATCTGCGCAATGTAAACAAACTGGCGCCATATTTGTTATCAGCACGGTGATTTCAGCGTGCCAAATCATTATAAAGGTTTAGTAAATTTTCCAGTATTGAGCAAACAAAACGTTTATTAATGTTGCACGTGAATGTTTATGACCAAAAGAAGCTAATGAATAAGATAATCAAACAAATAATAACAGATACAAACAAAGGCACAGTTTTAAACAAATTAATAGGGAATGTGCTTTCCCTGTTTTGAAATTACTTGAAGAAGTCGACGATCCATAGAATTTGTTAATTGTAGGATGTCATCTGCTGTAATGCCGCGAGATATGTCAAGAATTGCTTCCCACAACTCAGCGTTGCTCCTGAATTGTCGTCCGTTGGCGTACAGTCTTCGCTTCATGATGCTCCAAAGGTTTTCGATTGGGTTCAAATCCGGAGAATTTGCTGGCCACTTCATTTTTCGAGGTCCATCGAAGCCTAACTGTTTCAAATATTCAGTAGTCTTGTGAGCAGCATGTGACGGAGCATTATCTTGCATAAAAGCAATGGCCCTTCTGAAAGCAACTCTTTGCCTTTTCATCCACGGTTCAAGATGCTCCTTCATAAACGCTATGTATGCATCAGCAGTCATTTAGACGCTATCCGGTACTCTCCATGGGCCCACTAAAAGTTAACTCGATAATAATTTGGCACGCAGTGTATAATATATAACACAGAATTAATTACAATCACATGAAACTATTTGGCGATTCTGTCCCTTTCATTACCCATAACAGGGATCTGAATCTTTACAATCAAGTGTTGCCATCGAACGCTTTCGTCTCCTCAGAAAACTTTAACAAACGATCTTTTTAAGGGAAATAGAAACTCCAAGGAAACCTATAATTATGAAGAGACAGCTGGAATTTCTGAGACTTCGAACAGGTTTGAGAAGGCCCAGAATTTTA